TTGCCTTTCTCAAACTCAAATCGCTCTTATTCTACTTGTCTAAACTATCACCTTTTCTTTTCAACTCACTGCTTATAGCTAAAAAAAAACTTAAACATGTCCGATATTAACACAACTCTCCTCAACTCAATTCAAAAGATTGAGGTTGATCTTGCTGAAATCAAGCAAGCATTGCGCGAGCTTCAAAGGCAATTCAGCAATCAATTTGCGCCAGCAGTCAGTGCGGAAGATCTAACTACAATGCAACAAAGCATTATTGAGCAGAGTTGTAAGTCATATATATTCTGTGCTTAGATGTTTATTTACTTTATTAATATTGTCATACATTTTTTGTAGCTCTTGAGCGCATTGCCGAGTCTGTGAAAAGAGCCCAGCTCACAGAGTACCCTGATCAGCTCGGTAAGCGAGTAATCAATACTGGTGGCGAGTTCAAAGGAAAAAACGAAGCACAAAAATACAATCTGTTGCTTCAGATTCTTCACGAGCAGGACTGGAAGGCGCGCTGCAAAGAAGTTCCACAAGGGCAGCCTTTGCCCCCATTAGTCCCTCTTTCAGACCATGATTTGACAGTAAAAAGACTGCATCTCAAAACATTAGGCCGTACGGTAAAGCATGATATCATTGACAAAGACTATCCTGCGGCCTCAAAAGAATGGAAGAATATCCCAGAGAAAAACCGGGAATACTACATGATGCATTTGGAGAGGTTGGCGAAGAATGGTGGATTGCACATCCACCAATGTAAAAGAATGTGGTGTGCAAGAAGCCTTCTTCGGGAAAGCTTCAAGAGCAACAACCAGACGCACAAGAGAAGAATGGCAGAGAAGAACAAAGTAAGTTTATCAATTAACAAATCTATATATTGTAAACTTTAATTAACATCGTTTCCTTTTATTATGCTATAGACACAGCGAGACATAAGTGATTCTTCGCTTTCTTCTCCTGATATGTCAGAAACTGGTGATGTTGAGTCGCCCATAATGGCAGATGTGCTGTAAGTTACCATTGTTGCTTTTTCTCATGCGCTGTTAATACAAAACTAATATAAACTTCTTACTCTTTTATGTAGGTCTCCTCCACCCACAGCAAGTGTCGAGCCTGCTCGCAAGAGAAGCCGAAGATCGTAGTTTGGCTGCTGTGATTGGCCGAGTTTGATTTTTTTAGTCTGTCTTTAGTGCATTTTTTTTCTTATCTCGTCATTTTTCTTTTTATGTTTTTTATTCCTTTTTTCTTTCATATAAAAAATTTATCGACCTCTTTCATATGATTGCTAATGTTGTGATTACAAGAATTTGAAGCTAATGTACAGCATCTACAATTCCGCTACATTCAAATATAAAAGGAAATAGTATATAGCCTTTTTTTTGGGAAAAAAATTAATAGTAATATTTTTGTACTGATATATTATACTTGGGAGTCGTTCTATTATATGTAAGTATATTGAGTAGAATAAACACGTTAAGCTTTCTAACAAGATGCTCATTCCGGTTGTATGAATCAGATTCGAATTAGCTTCATGTTACATGACTTGAATCTTTGCTCAAGTTTTTCTTCTTCTACGATAACGACTTTCTATAGTGCTTATGTTTTATTGCTTTTCTTATATATAGATCTTAAATATTAATACATTCTTTAATATATATATATATTCTTAGAGTAAATGCTTATTTTACTGAACAAGTAAGCATATTATATAAAGGTAAGCATTATAATAATATTATATCTATTTATTTATTTTAAGTTTTTTCTCTAATATTAGTATATTTGTAGAAATCGGTAAAAAATAATAAGTGCTATCTAAGATATATTAGAATACCCAAAGTATATGAAATACAATTTGAATAGTAGTGTTTTACTGCATACGTTTTGCAGTAGCTAAACAGAACCATTTTTTATTGCGAGTGGCCGATGGAATTGTTTTTTCATTATTACTATTATTATTATCATTTTCATTTAATAAAACATGCATTGAAATAAAGATTCAATTCAATTAAACCCAATTCAATATTGTATAATAAAAAACAGACCATTCTGTTAAAGCTGCAAAGGAAAAACAAGAGGTTGTGCTAGAATTGAAAGCAATAGAACAAAAGAAAGAATGTAATAGAGGAAAGGAAGGACGCTTGATTTTTTTTTGAAAAATGGTAACAGTGCCTGTTTTGGCTTTTTACATAATAAATAACTGCCATTTTTTATTATGAAAAAAATGGTAACAGTGCTTGTTTTGGCTTTTTACATAATAAATAACTGCCATTTTTTACTATGTAAAAAATGGTAACAGTGCCTGTTTTGGCCTTATACAGAGTCATAACTGCCATTTTTTATTAAGTAAAAAATGGCAGTTATGTTACCAAAGTGGTAACATGTTACCATTTTCTCCGCCGTAGTGTAGATCACCTGTTATCAGCTTATATATATACCCAATTGGTGGTCAACAGCTTATATATATACCTGATTGGTGGTTAACAACTTATATATATATACCAGATTGACTGTTATCCACTTATACATATATAAAATTGATTGTTATCTACTTGTATATATATGAGATTAACTGTAATTAGATTATATATATATCAGATTGATGATTATTGGCTTATATATATACCAGATTGATGATTATTAACATATATATATACCAGATTGATGATTATTGGCTTATATATATACCAGATCGATGATTATTAACATATATATATACCAGATTGATGATTATTGACATATATATATACCAGATTGATGATTATTGGCTTATATATATACCAGATTGATGATTATTGGCTTATATATATACCAGATTAATAATTATTAGCTTATATATATATCAGATTGGCTGTCATCCACTTATATATATATCAAACCGGCTGTCATCCACATATATATAGCAGATCAGCTATTATCCACTTATATATATAGCAGATCAGCTGTCATCCACTTATATATATAGCAGATCAGCTGTCATCCATTTATATATATAGCAGATCAGCTATAATCAGCTTATATACATATAGCAGATCAGCTGTCATCCACTTATATATATATCAGACTGGCTGTCATCCACTTATATATATATCAGACCGGCTGTCATCCACTTATATATATATCAGACCGGCTGTCATCCACTTATATATATAGCAGATCAGCTGTCATCCACTTATATATAGAGCAGATCAGCTGTCATCCATTTATATATATAGCAGATCAGCTATAATCAGCTTATATATATATAGCAGATCAGCTGTCATCCACTTATATATATATCAGACCAGCTGTCATCCACTTATATATATAGCAGATCAGCTGTCATCCACTTATATATATAGCAGATCAGCTATAATCAGCTTATATATATATAGCAGATCAGCTGTCATCCACTTATATATATATCAGACCGGCTGTCATCAACTTATATATATATCAGACCGGCTGTCATCAACTTATATATATAGCAGATCAGCTGTCATCCACTTATATATATATCAGACCGGCTGTCATCCACTTATATATATATCAGACCGGCTGTCATCCACTTATATATATAGCAGATCAGCCGTCATCCATTTATATATATAGCAGATCAGCTGTCATCCACTTATATATATAGCAGATCAGCTGTCATCCATTTATATATATAGCAGATCAGCTATAATCAGCTTATATATATATAGCAGATCAGCTGTCATCCACTTATATATATATCAAACCGGCTGTCATCCACATATATATAGCAGATCAGCTATTATCCACTTATATATATAGCAGATCAGCTGTCATCCACTTATATATATAGCAGATCAGCTGTCATCCATTTATATATATAGCAGATCAGCTATAATCAGCTTATATACATATAGCAGATCAGCTGTCATCCACTTATATATATATCAGACTGGCTGTCATCCACTTATATATATATCAGACCGGCTGTCATCCACTTATATATATATCAGACCGGCTGTCATCCACTTATATATATAGCAGATCAGCTGTCATCCACTTATATATATAGCAGATCAGCTGTCATCCATTTATATATATAGCAGATCAGCTATAATCAGCTTATATATATATAGCAGATCAGCTGTCATCCACTTATATATATATCAGACCAGCTGTCATCCACTTATATATATAGCAGATCAGCTGTCATCCACTTATATATATAGCAGATCAGCTATAATCAGCTTATATATATATAGCAGATCAGCTGTCATCCACTTATATATATATCAGACCGGCTGTCATCAACTTATATATATATCAGACCGGCTGTCATCAACTTATATATATAGCAGATCAGCTGTCATCCATTTATATACATAGCAGATCAGCTATAATCAGCTTATATATATATATCAGACCGGCTGTCATCTACTTATATATATATCAGACCGGCTGCCATCCACTTATATATATAGCAGATCAGCTGTCATCCACTTATATATATAGCAGATCAGCTATAATCAGCTTATATATATATACACTGCAAAAGGAGGGCCAATTCAGTATACTAAATCTTGACCAAATACTTTCTGAATGAATAAAATTCAGCATGAATTCGATCGGAATTTATGATGCCAATTTTTTAAAATTCGTGAGCTAAATGAATACAATTAGTATACTGAATTTTAGGAACGCAAAAAGAAAAAGTGTGATATACTTTTATGTGATATATTTTGGTCATGAAAATATAGATGCACTTTTATCAGACCGCAGATTTTTCATTTTATATTGGTTTTGGGGTTTTTTTTAAATACAGCACATAACATTCAACATCTTTTTATTACTATATATGGGTTGTTAAAGAAGAGATTTGGTCAAGATTTGGTCAAGATTTAGTCAAGATTTAGAGGTTTATGGGTCATTTTAAAGGTTTTTATTGGTTTGAAAAAATTTTCTTATTGTTTCTAGCTATTTCTATTCGTCTACATCACTAATCGTCTTCTGTTGCAATTGGATAGAAACATCACACTCGATGCCGTCATTTATTTTAGTGGATACTATGTTATTCCTTTCGAACATCCATTGGTCCACGCCTGGTGCAATCGACCCCTACTGTATTCCATTGCTTGCTGCGGCACGCCTTCTTGGCCTGTTTGTTTACTTTTATAAAAAATAATTATAGGGTGGATTAGAAAGAATGTTCTAGGTATATTTATTTGAGAGCGACAGATTATTTAAAAAATATGAATGTACTTACAATAAAGTTAAACACGAGAACAGATGGATGTCTTTAACATAAAGATAGATATATCAACGTTTTAGTTAAATGTCTCAATTATAGTAATATTGTCTATAAAAATAATAACTTTTGTTAATACGATGCAAAGTAAATAAGACTATGGTTTGCTTACCAGACAGTTCAGAAAACAGAAGAGTTGACAAACACAAAATACAATGACATTGTCTATAAAATATAATCTTTTATTAGAATGAAATAAAGAGTATCAGACTATTTTTTGCTTACCAATTATTCAATACAATAGAAGATGCAGCATGCGGGAAATGGAGATATTATCTATAAAATAATTTCTTTTCATTAGAATTACATACAAAGAAGTAGAATGATTATTTACTTACTTGTCTGTCTGTAGAGAATAAGAGTCGGTGTATAATCAAAAAAAGAGGACCGAGATAAAGACCAGTGACTATAGAGTGTATGGTATACATAAGAAAAATAATAAATACAAGTTGTATCTTGAAGGTGCACGTTAATACTTATACAACATACCATTTTGTAAACCCTCCCAAGGTATATGTCTTTGTTAACGGGCCAGAAAAATCTAAGCAGAATAATTAATACATAAATCGTGAATAAATATTCAAGTATATTTTTATTACCTTTTTATCATTATTTTTGAGGCAGTTAAGAAGGACTTGGTGGTTTAAAGCATAGTGTATCATGCTAGAATAAAAACAACAAGATGATTAGGTCTTGAAACTTTGATGTGAGTTGATGCTTACCATGTTAGACATTAAGAAAGAAGTAAAGAAGAAGAAAGAAAAAATTAAAAAAAAAAACGGGGGAAATTCAAAATTATAATTTTATGACCGT